TCTGCCTTCCTCTTCCGCCACCTCTGCGACGTCCTGTCCGAGGAAACCGACCATTCGGTGTATGTAGCGTACACTAATAGTAGGTATCGCTTTGATACAAATTTCAAATGAGTTGGTCTTATTTTCTAACCAAACTCTATTAAGCTCTGAAGGTTTCACTTTCGTAAAAGGTTTTGCTATAATATCATGAGATGCAGCTAAATCACTTGGGCATGGACAAAATAGTGAGCTGTCAATTCTGAATAAACGATCAGATGGCATAGTCGAGAATTTGGAGACGCCTCACAACCTGTCGCTGCTGCTCGCAATCTTTTTAAGTGGTCGTCGTATAATCCCGCGTAGCCTAAACAAACTCACATAGGGTCCTGCGAAGCTGGGTCGGGTAGTATATGTGGCAATGATAAGTAGTTTAGCACGGTATAAACATTTATTTGGCACTTTCAGCTAGCTCTTCACTTTCGCTTCCGCACCCTGCAGTTCGATGTAGACGGCGAGCCATTCGTGGCAGGCGCAGGGGTGACCAACGGCGAGTCACTGGTAGCAGGAGCTGGAGTAATCGACTCCGAATCATCTGAATCTGGAGCTGGGGTGACCATAGGCGTCTCAGCAGAGGGAGCATCTTGAGTCGGAGTTGCTGGGTCTATTTCAGATGATGGCGTTTGAGCTGCTGGGGACTCAGCAGCAGGAGCACTGGCTAGCTGTCGGAGACTCTGCTGCAGAAGAGTCGGTGGTAGTAGCCGGAGATTCCCCAGTCGACGGCGTTCCGGCTCCTGGGAGCTCAGCGGATGCCGAACTACCTGACGATTCGTGTGCTCCTCCACCCGATCCCCCGCTGAGGGGGGCACAGTTCACATATACCTGCCAGCTTGGACCGTGCATGGCCATCCAGTACATCGTGAGCACACTTGCCCCGGAGCACTTGCTCTTCTCGTACGGTAATTCAGCGGGGGCGGCAGTGAAATGAGCAGCACAGTTGTCATCATAGAACACACGCTTCTTGTCGCACCAGACTTCGCACGGACCTTCGTGCGTAGATGTAAAGCCCTCCCCCTCTGAGTGCGACCACTCCACTTTATCTGGCAATGGTTGGGGGGGGGGGGGTGTTTGGGTCGGCAATACCGCATGTGAGTGTCGCACCAGTAACGATAATCTTGGCCTTGTCATCGATGACTTCCTTGATAGACTTGTACTTGCTGGCCTCAAAGGCCTTAGTGAACGCGGCCACATTATCTGCCGGCGGACCGGTGAAGACTCCTTTAAATCCCGAAGTAGACGAATCGATAGTCGCGATATACTGCGACTTGTCCATCTGTGGGTCGTAAGTGGCCGCCGGCTTGGTCAAGAAGCCGTGGCCGTTGACACATGATGCGATCAGTGCTGCAGTCAACAAGCACTTGGCGGGGGAGATCATTCTCCTTTGTAGAACGCTAACCGAGACTAGAGAGACAAGTGGCAGAACTGAAAGTGAATGGTCCAGAACGGCTTTGATGAACCACAGCACGAACTTAGACTTGTACACTTCAGGGCACACATAATGATCACGGCCCGCATTCGTCCCCGCGATCTGTCAGGAATTGCTGCTTTAATTTAGCATCATATGATTACAAGTGCGATTTGAAGACGATAGAACCAGTTGCCATCACACGTCAGGAAAATGTAATCAAAGGATGTCTGGTCCGTAAAAAAATTAACAGCTCTCTAAATCCGTGATAACTTCTGATGTACTGCGTTAACGGAAACGTAGTTGACCTTAATACACAGCAGAGGAACGTTTTTTTTGGCATGGGTTTTCCAGTCTTTACATGACCATGGGGTGAAGTCTTTGCTCGCTTACAATCAGTAATATGGGAAATCAAAAGCTCAAGTACTACTAGAAGTGATTGATTCTACTTACTAGTAAAGTCATAGTATACAATGTGTACATGTCATTTGGAATACAATCCATACTTTAGGAGAAAGCAAGACTAAAAAAAGCGCACATGCAAATCGGAATCTGAGTTTCTGTCCACGGAATTCCGTGATAACATATTTCGAAATGAGATCAGGATTTGCTAGTGTCCTTTACATTAGGAGAGCGAATCGTATGATAGGCTCGATACATCATATGCACCAGCGTCACGCTGAGCGTGTGATTCACACGCTATGAACTTCACCCATTGAAGTCGGGACGAGTCTGGATCTTCGTGTAATGTGCTTTATCAGCTGCCCAATTCATAACGCTTTTATCGAATACCGTTTTATTAACAGCTGCATTCTGGTTCTTATTGTGAGTCCTATTTTAATAAATTCATGTTCTTAAGTACATTTTAGGCAGGTGATCAATTAGCTGTTTAAAACTCAGAATTTAAGTCCGCCAGCTTCTTTTAAGAAACGAGATTAAAGTTTTTAGGACTCCAATGTTGGTAAGGTGGGCTGGCCCTCAACTATTAATTATAATCAGTCAAGGAGTGAATCAGTCGAATTTCCGTAAATAGGTAACTCCCTGCTTGATTTTTTGCATGCCGCACCAGTTAGGGTATTATCGAGGCAGCATGCTATTTTTGGATAATGTATGAGCCTACGTTTTGGTCAAGAGCTGTGCTTTGACACTGTTGTTGTTGTTAACGGTAAATGCCGAAGTGAGTAGATTAAAGTCAATTAAATCTGTCGTCTAAGCTTCAGTGCTCCTGGCCATCCACCAGATTAACCGGTTTGGGACCGGTCCATCCTGGAACGTTCAGCCGGTTAACTGAACCGTGCAGAGTCGGTGTGAATTAACACTCCCACTCACCGCTACTGCACGACGTTCGTCTTCGTTAAGGATCGCTACTCAGCGGCGTTCCTCTTCTTGATCCCGCTTGCCTCGCGAAGGAACGCTAGCGACTTCGTTCCAAGCGGCTTCGTCAGCATGTCCGCAAGTTGGCGCTTCGTGTCGACGTAGTCCACCTTGATCGTAGAGCGTTCCACATTCTCCCGAATGAAGTGATGTCGGATATCCACGTGCTTGGTCCTAGCGTGATACCCAGCGTTACTTGCAAGTGCGATAGCACCTTGATTGTCCTCCCGGACCTGCGTCGCTCCCACTTGCTCGTGACCCATGTCCTTGAGAATAGCACGTGCTCATAGTACCTCTTGCGTACACAGACGCAGAGCCATGTACTCTGCTTCCGCTGAGCTGAGTGCAACCGCTCTCTGGTACTTGGACTTGAACACAATCGGAGCGTTCCCAATCATGACCATGACACCTGATACGGAACGCCTGTCGTCAATGTTGCTTCCCCAGTCTGCGTCCGTGAACGCCTCTGCCTTGACACCTTGCGTTCCACTTTGGTAGACGATACCGTGCTGCCGAGTTGTCTTTAAGTACTGCAGGACCCGTATCGCTGCCTTTCAGTGTTGCGTTCCAGGATTTTTCAGGAAGCGTGACAGCTGCGTTACAACGTACGCAATGTCCGGTCGAGGGCATGTTGTGATGTACATCAGGCATCCGATCAAGGAACGGTACGGTCTTGACTGCATTTCACGTCGTTTTTTCTCCGTGGCTGGCGACATCATCTTCGACAGCTTCATGTTGGATGCGCATGGGTTATCCAACATCTTGGCGTTCCGTTGGTTGAAGCGTTCTACAATGTCGTCAATGTACCGAGTTTGCTTGATCATCAGCGTTCCAGCTGCCTTATCATAATCAATCTCCATCCCCAGGATGAACTTTGCCTCGCCAAGCTCTTTCATCTTGAAGGCACTCTTCAGAGCGCCCTTTACTTCGCGAATCTCTTCGCGTGTCTTCGCCGCAATGATCATGTCGTCCACATACAGGCACACGTACACGAATGCGTCCCTGGAACGCTTGACGTAGACACACTGGTCGGCTCCACAACTCTTGAAACCGTTCCGCAGGAACACACGATGGACAGTCTTGTTCCATGCACTTGCAGCTTGCTTCAAACCATATATGACCTTTAGCAGCTTGCACTTCATGCCTTCAGCGTTCTCGAGACCAAGTGGAACGTCCATGTAGACCAAATCCACCAAACCACTGTTTAGGAACGCTGTTTCAGCAATCCAGTTGCTCCATAATGTAGTCGCATGCCACGCACACAGCGAGTACAACTCGAATCGAGTTCATGTTTGCAACAGGAGAATACGTCTCAAAAAAATCGATTCCAAACTTCTACTTGAGCCCTTGAGCTACTAGGCGTGCCTTGTAACGGATAACACGACCGTTCTTGTCACGCTTCTTGGTGAACACCCAGCGAC